TCCCAAGTTCGATTCCGGTCAAGGGCATGTACCTTGGTTGCGGGCACATCCCCAGTGGGGAGTGTGCAGGAGGCAGCTGATATCAATGTTTCTAACTCTCTATCTCTCTTCCTTCCTCTCTGTAAAAAATCAATAAAATATATTTTTTAAAAAAGAAAATGTATTGCCAAGTTTTCTTAGCACTCAAGTTATCTAATACTAGGTAATTGTGTTAGTAAAAGCTGTTTGAATCCTATTCTTCAGACCACATTAAGAAATCAGCAAAACCAGTCATCATCTGTCTATCCAGAAGAGTAAGAAGATGGTGGGGGGATTAAAAATAATGTCAAGTAAGAAATGGCTGAGGAAAATTACTTTTATTCTGTATAGCTTCAGAGGAAAGAATGAGGATCAGCGAGTATAGTTACAGGAAGCAGAATTTGACTCACTGCAAGGCAGACATGTCCATGATGAGAACAATTTGAAATGTACTGGGCCCTTCTACTGTTATTTGAGTGCTCCCTCTCTAGAAATGCTCAATCAGACCACATTACAGTAAGAAATAGCCATGCACATTACACGTATCGTCAGTCCGAAATAGGACTATGTCTTTGAGCAAGGCTTTAAAAATAATCTACTCCCTGCTCAGTTCCTCATTCTATTACCTCATCTTCTAGATCAAGGTATCCAGAATTATGACAGTTCATCAATGAAGCAAATGTTTATCTCTTGTAAATTTAATTCACTCCGTTGACCTAAAAAATGCCGGGATAATGCTGTTATTGACACACTGGAAGTTCAAAGATGTGGTCAGCACTATTTGTCATTTTTGTGCTATGACTAAACTTTCTGAAGTTAATGGGCTTAGAAGAGAGAACATCATTTACCTGAAGTTATTTAGCAATAAAGTAGATTTTATTTATTCAAAAAAAAAGAAGATTCTTTGCAAAGGCCATGAGATGGGATAGAGCCTGCCACATTTGAGAAGCAGAAAAGTGCACTGTGTGACTAAAGGGAAGGGGAGGGAGGCATGGCTTGGGACAAGTTGGAGAGAAAGCAGCAACCATCATATGCATGGGCTGGCAGGCCATGGGCAAGAATTTGGATTTTATTCTCAGGGTAATGAAAATTCATGAAGGCGTTTTAAGCATGATCAAATTTGCATTTTTAATAGAACACTCAGTGGATGGACAGATAGATAATGATAAGCAAATACAATTAATGGTAGTAGCTGAATTTAGCTGGTAGGTATAAGAATGTTTACTGTAAAATCATTTCAACTTTTCTGCATGTTTAAACATTTTAAAAATAACATGTTGGGAAAATCTGGCTACAGTATGAAGAATGGATTGCTGGAGAATAAGAGTGGCTACATAGATAGCAGCTAGGAGACTTTTAATGATCATAGAAAAGGGAAATGGTGGCTTGGACTAGTGTGCTGGCGTAGAGATGGCAAGAACTGGACAAGATTTTGAGATATTTAGGAAGTAGAATCAATATGGTTTCCTGATTGAGTTTGCCTCATGGCAAGGCATAAATTAAAGATCACTGCCCAGTGCCAAGTTAATATAACTGAGTGGATGATTTTACCAGGTTCTGAGTCAGGATGTACTGGAGCAGAAAAACCTGGGTGCAAGGGAGAGGGTAGAGTGTTCAGTTTTGAATATGTTGAAAACATAAGTTATTTCAGTGGAGATGCCATACATGCAGTTGGATCTTGGATCTGGGTCTGGGTCTGAGAGAAAAGATCTGGATTGGTGAAGTGAGTTTGAAGTCATAAGCATATAAATGGTCATCAAACCATGAGAGCACAATACATAATAATGCCTGAAAGGGTATAGAAAGTGATGAGAAAAGAAAGAACAAGCAGCAAAGAATCGAATGTTTAACATTTAACAATTTTTAAGAGACAAGGAGAGGGAGTAACTAATAAAACAAAAATTAGGCACATGTATGACAAAAGGCTTTGGAGTTGCTTCCAGTCTTTTGCAATAAATTCCCTATGCATATTAATTTCTCACATATGTATCTATCTCTGTAGGATAACTAACCCAAAGTGAAATTGCTACATTTTGTGCACACACACGTACACGTACACACACACACACACACACACACACACACACACACACACACCATTTTTAATTTCAAAGTATTTATTTTTGAAAAGAAAAGACTGCTTAGAAAAGCCACCAAACAGACAATTTAGCTAACCATATTTAAAATGACATTTGATAGGATTGGTTAAATAAATCTGATGTATCCCTATAATGTAATACCATGTAGCCATAAAAAAGAATGAGGCTGTCAATATATTCTGATATGCAAGGGGAAAAAGGACGACTTACTTTTCACAATTTTGAATTATTTGAATTTGTTTTCATTCACATGTATTATCATTATTTGTACTTCTACACCATACTTAGTAAAAAAAAAAAGGTGTGACTTAAAGATTAACTTATCTTTTATTTCTGAGAGCAACACCAACAGATTTCTGATGCATACCTGAGTTTTGCATCATGGAAATGCCCAGTTAGATGTTGGTTTTTATAAAATACAGTGAATTGCTCTAAATGTGGTGAAGATTTGAACAAAATGTTCACGCTTGTCTTGAGTTCAAGATATAAATTGTGGACTATATTACTTTTCCACTTTCATTATTAGTGAAGAAATCCACTTTATTTGTCTACTTTAGAGATGTCTCCAGACTTTACCATCATCACCCTTTCACCTCCCTTAAAAATGCCTTTGAAGACAGAATGAATCACATCAAGTCTGATGACTATTTTTCCAATATAGAGAGTGATGATGATTTTAAATTTTTTGTTTTCTGTTCTCAAGAAAGGTGGCAGGGATATAGGTGTGAGTTTTTTTTTAAAAAAATATACTATATGTACTAAGCTACACTAGACCACTAACTTCAATTTTTTAGAATTAGTCTATTTTTAAATAATATTTAAAATGGATTGCTTATTCTCTTACTAAGAATAATACTAAATATATTATTAAATCTGTTTTCCAAATTCAAGAAAAAATTTAGAATATGGAACATTGAGCTAGAATAAACCAGAAGATGATTCTAGTTTCCCTACTACTAAAAATCAGTTACTATCTTCTTAGGGGTTTTATATGAATTCAAATGAAAAAATAAGCTGAGGGGCTAAAATATGACTCCAGAAAAAGACTAGGTGAAGTATGTTCATACTTAAATAATCAGAATTTGCTCCACCTTCCTTCATCTATGTGTTCCTGTCCACCATGATAAGCATAGGATCATGCCAAGGACTTCAGTGGAAAGAACACTGGCCTAGGAGTTACATGCTGGATTTAAGTCCTAATCCTCTACAGGAGTCACAGCTTCTATATGATTGTGGGCACGTCATTTCAGTTTTCTGGGTTCAGACTTGGAATCTGCAAAATGTGGAATCAGGTCTGAGGCACCTTTCAGCTTTAACAACCTTTGCATCTAAGTTTGGTTGGTTAAGCATCTGGAATTCCAGGTGACAGAAAGTATGGTAGATTGAACTATTGGCCATGATTCTTCATTCCTTCCTGCATCCTCACTCTTACCAAGGTTTCATTATGAGCAGAATGTATTTCCCTGCCTCTTGATTTTGGGCTGGGCCATGTGACTTCCTTTGACCAATGGAGTATCAATAGACATGATGCAAACTTTGCTCACAGTGTACATTATTTCTTATTCCCTTTCAGATAATGGCTTAGAACATTTTATAAAATATATGTTTGCAACAGAACTCTCTAATAGGTAGGTCATAACTAGGGTGACCCTATATCCAAATGTCCCCAGGTCAATCTTGGTTTATCTATGTCATTCTGGTATATTAATTTAGCTTCCTTCACTATCAAAGGTGGGTTTATTTAGATTATAAATTATATAGTCACGACAGAAAAACTTGAAAACTTACCTGGGTGAGCCACATAATTGCTAAAATAACAAGGCAACTCCCTGGCCTCAGCGACCATCCCCACACACCTTCTTTGAATCATGGGGATTCCCAGGATGAGGAAAGGGTAGCCAGTATTCCTTCTTCTTACTCTTCAAGTGATCTACATTCTGAGTGGCCCCATTTTCCCTCAAACCATTTGAGGAAACCTAAAGTAACTAATAACTAGAAAAAGTGTGGGATTCTCAAGAGAACTATAGTGTCAAATAAGCTTGCACCAACCATTTCCCTTACGGTGTAAAGCCTATAATCATTACACAATTTGCTTGTTGACAGAACAATGTGGCACACTTTCTATCATCCAATCAAGATGTCCATGGGCCATGGACATATAATGGTACATGCTTTTTTAGACTTTCAGCAAGACCCTAAATGTTCATCACACTGACATCTCTCCCCTCATGTCCTAATGCCCTCAAGTGAGAAATGCCAGGGAAGAAGAAGTTCAGGACCCAAGCCTGATACTGGTAGGAAATGACAGCCAAACAGTCTCAGGATGTCTCATTTTGGAGAATGGTACCTTCAGAGCTGACGCTTCCCCATGCTGGAACGAAGCATGAGTATACCCTCTACAGGAGTCCCAGGATTGTCGGCCATCTTCTGCCAAAGGTGTTGTTCTTCTCCCTGTGAGTCCATCCAATCCACAGTCTTCCCATGGCTCACACCTTAAAAAGGAAAATAGAAATATTACTCTTCACATATTAAATGTTTTGGTCTTCTGGAAGATATCTAGTAACCTCTGAGGGGGCCTTTTGATCACAGAGCCCTTCGCTGACTTGTTCTCACTAACCATATCTAGTGAGTGGTGTTGAGTGAAATATAGCTTTTACAGCCTGCACTACTCTCTTCTGCATAGATGATGAGAAACAATCAAAAGGGTACTCGTAGCTCCTTTCATCCCCACTTTGGTAGTTTGCAGAGAGCTAGTTCATCTGGATTGAGTTTACATGACAGAATAAAAGGCTGAACAAGGCTCTGGTGCTCTTTCTTTCTAACAACTCCAGTTCTTTGATCTGGGGAGTTTTCACTTTACTGGTATAGATATTCTAGGCTCTCCTTAATCTATAATAAGTTGATCATCATAGGGGTGGGTTTATTCTTAACAGGAATGTTGACCATGGTGCATGCAGAACACGTATGTCTGGACCAAGCTACAGAATACTGAGTTTGGGGTCTGCATGTGCTACACTACTATAATTTTCCCCCTATACTTGTGTCTTGTGGTGTGTTTCCATGGTCTGTTTGCAAAAGATCAGATGTTAGTTTTCAGGGAAAATTATTTGTTTTAACTAGTGTGAGTAATGGCTGCAAATTATGGACAGGGATGAGAAGAGGACGAAATAAAGTTGGTCTTGGACATCCTCTCTCCTATCAGAGTCTGTGTTGTCTGGTGATCCTCTCCTGGGAAAAACCTGAAGTAAGGCCCAAAAAAGCAGTTGAAATTCACTTAGACTAAAGTGTAAATTATACTTTGTGAAAAGAATGAAAATAAAAATTATGCATCCCAAACTTCTAGTTGAAGGATATATCGGTAAAGTTGTGAAGTAGTATATTTATTTTAAAAATGAACAGATCATTGGTTAAAGGCATGGGACATCTGTGGAAATTAAGGAGTCAGCTGTGCTGAAATTACATATATACCTACTACATATCACACCTTCAGGAACCACTCCCAAACCCCATGCAGAGTCACAGAGCAAATCAGGGTCCCCGAGTCCCTCACCACTTCCAGAATTCAAACGAACTCCTCCCAGAAAGATGTTGCTAGAAAAGGCCTCCTTGTCCCAGATGGTAAGTTCTAGGCAAACATTCTTTATATCCTGGGGATGCAGGCCACAGAACATGAAAGTATGATTCCACTGAGGGTTAACACTCCTTTTTATTACCAGAGTTTTGTGCTTGGTGACTTTTTTATCATCAGGGAGCAGGTAGCTGCAGGAAAAAAAATGCAATCAAGCCATCAGTGAGACAGTAGGTGGAAAATGGCATCCTTGAATAGTCGTTTCAATTTCACATAATTCCTGCTGTGTGTATGTGTGATATGTGTATTGGATATTCTCTCCCAGATTCTTATATGTCTAAATTTGGATTTACTTAGTGGGATGGTTTATTATTTCTTTTAGGTGGAGCAATAGTGAAATGCCCACACTCTCTTTTTATTTTTATTAGGATACTTGGGGCCACCAAGCATGAGCTACAGAGTCATCTGCAGATGGCTGCTACTTGTGTTAGGCTTAGAGTTTCCCAGGAGAGACCAAGCTGTGAATCTTGGCAAGCTGCTGCTAGTGCTGGGCCTGGGCCCACTTATCAGAGGTATGGAACACACTGAGTCCAGCTGCTACTTGCATGAGAGATTTTAGGAAATTCTGAAGGCTGAGCCATTCATACAAAAAAGACACAGCAGAGATCCAAGATGGCTGCTAACGAGATGGCAGGCTGCAAGATAGTGTGTGACTGAGAGAACAAAAGGAAAGTGTATGGACTTCCGGGGAGTATATGTATTTGTGAGTGAGGGACAGCTATATTCCAAAGGACTGTTGGGGACTGTCGGACTGGGCTCCCCTGGCTGGGCAGCCTCTACTGTTGCTGAAATCTCTCCCAGATCAGCCATCTCTGCCACAGAGAACACACCATATTGAAGGGGAGAGTGGCTGTGATCTGAAGCCCAGCCTTACTTTCAACTGGGGAGACCTTGGATACCTCGCGGGACCCTACAACCACAATGCCCGGGACCAGTTGCCTCAGCTATGAACCCATGAACACCTGGACTACATCATCCCCAACTGAGGGCACCTAAAAAGCCTGTCAAGAGGCAGACAAAGTGGTGCAAATATGTGGATGAGCCCTGCAACTTCTCACAGAGCAGATAGAAAGAACAGCCAAATCGAATAACATCCAACTGGAATTGGCGAATTAAACACAGCTGTTGAGGCAAACCATGGATGGAAAGGTCAGATATCGCTTAGAGAAAGGAGAGAGAGAGCTACATAACCAGACACCCAGAGATGAGCTATCAGGGGGAGACAAGGAAACAACCCGCATACAAAAAAAAAAAAAAAAAAAGAAGAAGAAAAAAAACATCACCAGAAGAGGAAGTAAATGAAATGGAGGCAAGCACTATGTCATAAAAGGAATTCAGAGCAATGGTCATAAGGTCACTGAAAGGGATGGAAGACAAATTCAACAATATGTGTAAGAACCAAGAGGAAATTAAGAAGCAAGAAGAAATGAAAAAAATGAAATAGATGCAATAAAGAACTCAATAGAAAGCATCAACAGTAGACTAGAAGAAGTAGAGGACTGCATCAGTGAGCAATAAGACAAGGTAGGAAAAAATACCCAAGCAGAGCAGCATCTAGAAAAAAACTTTAAAAAATAGGAGGAGAGCGTAAGGGAACTTTGGAACAACATGAAATGAAACAACATCTGCATAATAGGGATGCCAGAAGGAGAGGAAACTGAGCAAGGACTAGAAAACCTGTTTGAAGAAATAATGACAGAAAACATCTCTGATATAGGGAAGAAAAAACTCACACAAGTCCGAGAAACTCACAGAGTCCCAAACAAGATGAACTCCAAAAGACCGACACCAAGACACATTATAATTAAATTGGCAAACACTAATGACAAAGTAAAAATCTTAAAGACTGCCAGAGAGAGAGACAGAAAGTTACCTACAAAGGATCCCTCATCAGACTAGCAACTGATTGCTCAACAGAAACACAGGCCAGAAGGGAATGGAATGAAATATACAAACTCCTGCAAAGGAGGGTCTGAATCCAAGAATACTGTACCCAGCAAGGCAATCAATCAAAACTGAGGGTGAAATCAGGAGCTCCACAGACAAAAAAGGACTAATGGAGTTTATTACAACCAAACCTACAATGCAATAAATGCTAAAGGGTCTTCTGTAAAAAGAAGAAATAGGAAGGGAAGAAGGAACACAGGAGTAAAGAATAAAAATGGTGACAAACAAGTACCTGTCAATAATAACTTTAAATGTAAGTGGAGTAAATGCCCCAATCAAAAGACATACGGTAGCTGAGTGGATAAGAAAACATGATCCATATAACTGCTGTCTAGAGGACACCCATCTCAGAACAAAGGATTCACACAGACTGATGGTGAAAGGGTGGAAAAAGGGTTTTCAGGCAAATGAAAATGCAAAAAAAGTTGGGGTAGCAATACTTATATCTGACAAATTAGACCTCAAAATGAAGGCCATAAAAAGAGTTAAGGAAGGCCACTTCATAATACTAAAGTGAGCAATTCAACAAGAAGATATAACTCTGGTAAACATATATGCACCCAATACAGGAGCAACAAAATGCATAAAAAAAATCTCCTGAAGGATATCAAGGGAGAGGTTGACAGTAATACAATAATAGTAGGGGACTTTAGTATCCCACTAACACCACTGGACAAATCCTCTAAACAAAAAAATCAGCAAAGAAACATCAATCCTAAATGACTCACTAGATCAAGCATCTTCTCAGATCACAATGGCATAAAACTAGAAATCAACTACAATAAAAACAAATAAAATCAAACAGCTGGATGCTAAATAGCATGCTATTAAATAATGATTGGGTTGCCAACTAGATCAAAGAGGAAATAAAAAGCATCCTTGCAACAAATGGCAATGAAAACACAACAATCAAAAATCTATGGGACACACAGTGAAAGCAATCTTGAGAGGGAAGATCATAGCTCTACAGGTCTATCTCAAAAAACAAGAAAAAAATAGTAATAAATTATCTAACCCTACAACTCAAAGTTAGAAAGAGAGCAACAAGAAAAGCCCAGCGTAAGTAGAAGGAAGGAAATTATAAAGATCAGAGCAGAGATAAACGATATAGAGTCCAAAAAAAACACAACAATACAAAAGATCAACAAAACCAAGAGCTGGTTCTTTGAAAGGATAAACAAGATTGATGAACCTCTAGCCAGGATCACCAAGAAGCAAAGAGAGAGAACCCAAATAAGCAGAATCAGAAATGAATGAGGTGAAGTAATAACAAATCCCACAGAAATACAAATGATTATGAAAAAATACTATGAACAGCTCTATTCCAACAAAATGGACAACCTAGACAAAATGGACATA